TTCTTCCTCATTGATTAGGTGATGGCATGAAGTAAAAGCACACATTAGCTAGTCAAATCTCTATCGCAAGAGGTGCATGCACGGGTAGAGAGTGGTAAAAGCACATATTAGCTAGTCAAATCTCTATCGCAAGAGGTGGATGCACGGATAGGGCATCATACTAGATGATGCATAGATGCATCTTGTTGAGGAGATTGTATGCATGGCCATCTAGAATGATCTATCTAAACATTACTTTCATTGTTTGCATCTTTGTTTTGCTTTATTTGTTTGCATAGTAGTTTAGAATCTCAAATTGGGCACCTCAGCCCACTAGTTTACTTTCCCTTGCATTGCATACTCGAATTCAATTGGTTAGGTTTGAGTAGTTACTATAAAGACCCTGTGGAATACAATCCTAGGCACATCTAGGATATTTTATCGCTTGTATGTTTACTATGCATCATTATACTGAAGCCGGCAGTTTTCAAACATATTGTAATCCAATTAATAAAGTTGTTGGGAAAGTTCATCGCCCTCATCACAGTGAGTAAAAAGCCCCAATGCACTGAATCAAAGGCTTTCATCAAGTCTACTTTGGCTATATACATCTAGAATTTATGCCCTTTCTATGGTAATTATGAACTATTTCATGTGCCATCAATATGTTGTCATCTATACTTCTCCCAATAATGAATGTAGACTGGTTACTTCTAATGAGAATATGAATAAACTTTTGTAGTCTTTTTCCAACACCTTAGCTATGATCATGTAGAAAACATTTATGCAAGTTATGGTTTTAGCATTTGGTATCTTAGGACACACAGTTACAGATGCAACATTAGTACCTTGTGTGAGCATACTCTTTTGCAAGAATTCATGGACTGCTTATGTAACTTCTTTGCCTATAACTCACTAGCTTGTTTGAAAGTATCATACAGTCTATCCATATGGCTTTGGGGCTTTACTAGACAAGGGCGCTTCTCTAATCTCTTCATCCCTTACTATTTCATAGAGATCATCCCTTTCTTCTCCATCAAGCCTGTTGGTAATAGGAGACTCTAGATTATGTAAATTAGGGTTGACTTCTTCATTATCTTTGCCATATGAATGCTGATAAAATTGCACAACTTCAGCAGCTATATTTTCATTAAAATGCAACTCCTCACCAGACTTCAAAATTGACTTCTTTATTTGCTTCTTAGCTTTTCTCACCTTGATAGTTTGATGAAAATACTATAGCTTTTTGTTTGTAGAAACTCCCTTATGCTTTCTGCAATTCATTATAGTGTTTCCCAACCCTCACTCTCTCTTAAAATCTTAGTACGTAGGAGCACTTAGAGATTGAAGTTGAGCAAGCTACATGTTTTGCCTTTGCATCCCTCACTCACTCTGAAATGCCTGAAAACTCATCCTTATTCAACTTTTTCAGCCCCAACTTAACCTTGAGCTAATTTCTAACCTTGTTTATAGCATAGCCTCTCAAACTGTCTTGCCAGACTTCTTGTAATATAATAGGGTATCTAGAATGTTCAAGTAACATATCAAAACACTTATATGGTTTTGGGTAACTTTTATCAGGAACAGTAGGCCTCATCAACATTCCACAGTGATAAAATAAGTCAGGGGATAAAAATTCAACCACCCATTCATGAAAAGTATCCAACCAATCTATGTTAACTTGGACCCTATCGAGAATTGCAAGCTATTAAGTTCTTTTGTTGTTCGTTTGTCCATGTATACAAAAGGCCAGTGTATCTATGATCCACTAATTCCATATATGTCACCCATTGTCTAAAGTAATGTTGCCAGAACTGAACCGGAGTATGAACATGTATATAAAACGAGTCACACTTTATCGGTACCAATATAAAGCCGTTAAAAATCGTTAATGAACGCTTACCTTATTAACAATAATATTATAAATTATAGATAGAATACAAATATGGTAAGTCATAAATCTAAAATAAGTAAATAAATTTAAAACATGATAATTAAAGTAATAAAATTCAAACTCTAAATATTATTATTCAAACCAAATAATTATGGAAAGAAGCTAATTTCAAATGAAAAAACGGTAAGTATATCTAATTAAGCAGCTAATTCCCCTACTCTATCTTGCCATCAAATTAGGGTTAGATGCTATCTTATTAATGAGATTGTATGCACGGTGCACGATCATTCAGATGAAACTACCTAAACAATAATTTTCATTACTTGTTTCTTGTTGCTTTAATCACCTACTTTCTTATTTGTTTAGAATAGACTCTCGACCAAACCATAGGAACCTCAACCCATATTAATTTCTTTTTTGTCATTTTATTACTCGAATATGTGACTCTAAATATGTACCTTTTTAGTGATATTATAACAAAACATTAACTCCTTACTCATGTCAAACAACCCACCTAAGATGATTCCTTTTCCTATAATCTGATACAACGGGTCTAAGAGTAGTAGGGTGTCAGTTCGGGTCGGGTTCGTTTACCCAAACCGAAACCCAAAAAAACCGAAAACTCGAAATCGAAAATCACTAAAACCGAACCCGAAACTCGAAAATTCCTTATCAGGTTCGGGTAAAGCAACACCGAAACCCGAAAACCTGAACTCCTAAAAATATGGGCTGAGTTCTATTCATTGGAGGTTTACCCGAAACCCGAAACGAACCCGAAAAACCGAAAATGTATATAATCGGGTCGGTTTCGGGTAAACCCGAAAAACCAAACCCGAATTGACACCCCCTAAAGAGTAGTGATGGCCACTAGCAACCATTTGGCCGGAATTAGATAGCTAACGAAATTTGCAGGAAAGTATCTATCAATCCAATCCCCCCTTTCCTTCTTCCGAAAGGCCACAATTTATTTCCGTGCGCAACATCTCCGTCAAGTCGCGCAACAATCATGATTCACGAGACTTCTCTAGAGGGGGAAGAAAAAAAAAGGTTGATAAGTACTCCACCATTTTAATTTTTTGTGTGAACCAGAGCACCAGATATATATGCTGATGATATAGTTGGAACCAGGATTGCCCAATGTATATGTGGTTATGAATGGTTGAGCAGAGGCTTTGGTGGTTTTGGTATAATTTGTTCGGAATTCAGACATAAAGAAGGGGAAATTCAGTGTCCTCAAATGATTTTTCCCCCAAATAGTAGTGTCACGATTGGAGAAAGAGAGATTGTCATTGCTACCAAGCAAAGTGCACTTCTCCTCCTTGTTGTATTTCAACCAGGATATGTGATCAGGTGCTCTTTCTGATTGTGAAACATCGATGGTTTCAAACTTCAGTGTTGTTGTGCTCTTGGAAAGGGACGGAACAAGGTGAAGCGAGCTTGCCAAGGGGCCCGTGATCAAACCCAATTAACTTTTAGCTAGTGGGATATGTGACATGTAATGCTTTGTTACTTATGAGTAATGTAGTCAAAAGCGAGTTTTTACGCAGAAATGTTTTGGTGATGTAGAAGCGTAAAATCGTAAGTACGTAAGTTTTAAAGCGGAGTTTTTAACTACATGAGTTATAAAATCTTAGATTTTGTGTAGAAACGTTTTAGTAACCTAGAAGCGTAAAAATCGTAAGTTTTAAATTTTAAAGCGCGATTTTAACTACATTGCTTATGAGGATCCATTTTTTTTGCTCTAATTAGTAATTTTCATACCATGTTCTTCGAAATATTTTTACTATATCGATGCATCCTTAGTTGTTCTAGTACCGTATTGCTTCTTACTTGTTCCTTTATGCATTTTATAGCCTATAAGAGTATTTGTATACTTTTGATGCCTTTTGTGGTAGTTTTGTGTTGTTTTCAGGCATAGTCACCATTGAGATTAAGCTTACAAGAGGGAAGGATCAAATAAGGAAGTACCCATATGCGAAATGAGCAGGAATATAAAGTTTTAGCCTCATGCTCCCGGTGGCAGTAGCCAATGGTGGACCATAAGTGTCCAGTAACGGGTTCAGACGGACATGCTATATTGAGGGAAGTCTAGAAGGTATTCCATGACACAAAAGTTGAGCCCCAACTTGAATTGTTGAACTTGTTTGATACCAGGGTCGTCTCAGGCAAGATTACTTACGTACTTTGGTTTCATATGTCCTTATTGGGTCGAGATGTTTTGTCACAAAGCTATGGATATGATTTTCCATGTTAGTCTCTTTCACTGAAGTTGCCAACTCGTCTGTCTGTCGTGATATTGTGTTATGTACTCAAATTATTTGAATTCTATAAATCAAGTGAACCTATATCAAATTTCAACAAAATGTTTGTCCCACTACTACTTAGGTTTAATCAGGTAGGTTTAGGCACACACAAAGAAGAACTATGTTGGAAAGATAAGAGGCTTTTTCCGATATCAGGTGGGTTTAGACTGATGCTCAATCGGATAGGTAGAAAAGAATTGTAACCCTCGTTCTAATAGCACGAGGATTGAGGCAGGTTAGAAGCTCCTTTCGAGACCTCGAGTAAAAAAAAAAACACCCAGATAATCATCACTCTATATAAGAAGTCGATATGGGAACCTATCTCTAGTGCATCAGCTCAAACCCTAATTGCAAAAACTCGTCGGTCCAAAAATCTTGCTAAACGAGAGAAGATCAATAATATAGCAGAGAGATCCGATATCACTAAACTTATTCTTCTTATGTATGGAAGGATTATCGCCTCTTACAGCAACAACAATTGGCGAAGGTAGGTTGGAAGGAATCCAAATATTCAGGTAGGCCTCAACCTCAATGATCTTTCACCAGGCTTATTTTGTATGGATCCATTCTGTTTCGCAGGTCGGCCCAATCCTTTGAAGTAGGATATCCAGGAAAAATAAAATAATTAGGCTTCCTCGGCAGTCGGCTCGGCCCAATCGCTGGAAGTAGGGTATCCAGAAAAAACAAGTAAAACATTTGGCTTCGCCCGGGTTCGAACCGGAGACCTTCAGTGTGTTAGACTGACGTGATAACCAACTACACCACGAAACCAATTTGTTTAGATATTATATTTATATTTATTAAACCGTCGTCCAAATATGGGTGTCAGAACAAGAATCGTAATGCTGCCACGGCCGCCCTAAGTCAAAGGTCTATTCTTGTTTCAGCTCAAGGCCTAAACCCACCGCCCTAAAAATCTTCCGAGTCTCCCTGCTGCTCCGATCTACAATCAGATTCCGAAGATGGCCACCGCTCTGGACATGTCTCTCGACGACATCATAAAGGCCAACAAGAAGTCCAACAAGGGCTCTTCTCGAGGAGGAGGCGGCGGCGGAGGCGGAGATAAACCACCTCGCTCCGCCGGTCCTGGTCCTAGCCGTCGTGCCTCCAATCGCGCCGCCAACAGATCCGGCCCCTATTCCAAGGTAAAATCTTCATAACGATTCTCCATTTTGCCACTCCAAGCTACCCTTCTCCTCCTCTTTCAGTTCAATAACCTAATCTCCCGAGTCCACCACACAGCCGGGCGCCCAGCCAGCTCCCGAATCGGCATGGCAGCACGACATGTATACCGAGGCTTCCGGCAGCGGTGCCGCTTCGTTTCCCGGCGGCCGTGGTGGTCGAGCCGCCTCCCTCGAGACAGGAACCAAGATCTATATCTCAAACTTGGATTATGGAGTTTCTGATGAAGATATCAAGGTTAGATGCAATTCCTGCGCTTGCTTTGAATACTTGGAATCTGGAGATTTTAGAGCTAGTGAAAGGTGATGAATTGCTGATCCTGAGTGTTGATCTCTGATTCAGGAGCTGTTCTCTGAGGTTGGTGATATGAAACGGTACACAGTGCATTACGATAGGAGTGGGAGATCAGAGGTATTAATATTATTACTATGTTGATCCAATTTCAAGCTTTTTGGTGTAGTCTGGCTATTCTGTATAGAGGGTTTTGTTACCTCTCACGGTTAATGCTCGTGTCTCTCAGGGAACTGCTGAAATTGTATTTGCACGCCGGGAAGATGCTATTGCTGCTGTCAAAAGATATAATGATGTGCAACTAGATGGGAAACCAATGAAGATCGAGATCGTTGCCAAGAATATTCCTCCTCCTGCTGCTGCTGCTGCTCATTCACCTGCAGAAGGCTTCAACCGGAATCAAACTGGTGGTGGCAGAAGGTTAGCTCATGACCCTTTTACTTTCCATTGCAAAGTTTGTAACACTGAATTCCGTGGTTGGATTTTCTTTTTAGATGTTACTGATAAGAGAATGGATTCATTGCACAGTAGATTAACTTAGCAACCCTTCTCTTCTACCCGAAATTCAGCAGCTTTTGCATAATAATGAGATTCAGTCTTTGCTATGTGAGATGCTGCTTAGATGCCTTTGCTTATCTGAGGGGCTGATTTGGTGACAATGGCAGGCAAGGAAGGGGAAGATCTGCAGGAGGGCCTCGTGGTGGTGGTGGTGGTGGTGGTAGCGGCGGAGGTGGTGGCGGTGGCCGTGGTGCCAGAGCTGGGAAGGGAAGAGGCAAAGGTCGTGGTGAGAAGGTATCAGTGTCAGCGGAGGATCTTGATGCTGATCTGGAGAAGTACCACTCAGGAGGAGCAATGCAAGAAGACTAGAATGTCTCTCCATCTCCCCGTGCCCTACTTGCTACCTAGACAGTTTCATCAACACTGGAGTCTGGGACTGCTAAAGGAAGCACATTTCTGAGTTATTGTACCTGCAATTAAAGTCTACATACAAAATGGGCATTTGGCAAAATGTTACTGAATCCTTTTTCGCTTTTAAAAAATTGTACTATGGAGGAAGGAGACAGTATCGTGTTCTGGTATCCTGTAAGATATTCCCCTGCTTGTTGGAATGTTGATTTGCCCTTATTGTTCACTGCCAACATGACAATTTGATGCCTTGTACTCTTGTAAGCTGGAGATTTAAGCCACTGCTGAACAGCCATTTCTTCGTCGAAGATGGCAAATTTGAATTTGCCTGTGTGTTTTGGCAAAACTGTTTCGTTTGCTTTAGTAAGTTTTGATTCCATTAAGTTTCTAATTGCTGTAGTTTGTCCCGAGTAGTGTGTTATGTTAGTTGAGAGCTTTCAGTTTAACTGGAGAGTCGAGTTTGCTTGTGGAGAGTCAAGTCGGTTTAACTGTTTAGGGCCCGTTTAGTATTGTTGCTTGTTTTTGTTTCCTGTTGTGTTTTAAGAAATTTGGAAAACCAAGAAAAAAAAACGTGTTTAGTTGGGTTTTTATTTTTTGTTGTGAATCAGAGTTGCACAACAAGGCCCAAATATGAGAAACAACAATTTATAGCTTTGGATCTGATTCTTAAACATGTTGCACACGGGATTCCTACTGGTTGGGCGCTTGATTTCATTAAAACAGACCAGTTTTCGAATCCCCACAGAAGCAAAAAAATTTCTTTTTTTTTAAAACAGCCGCCCCCAAAACCCTACTTCGACAGCCGCCCCACCCCATTTTTCTTCTTCTCCATTTTCTTTCTTCTTCTCGACAGAGACTCCCCTCACATCCGCCTCCGCCCAGCGACCCCGCCGTCGCCCCCAGCCGCCGGGCGACCCCGCCAGCGCAGCCAACCGCCGTCGCCCAAGCTCCCCCACGCGACCCCGCCGTCGCCCAGCCTCCCCCGCGCGACCCGCCGGCCCTGCCTCCGCCCACGCTGTAGGAAAACGCTTGAGTTCCGGTGGAGGAAGAGTTTGGTGAAGGGGTGGATTTGGTGAAAGTGGGTTCATGGTGCACCAGGAAGAGGAGAGACTCCATCATTCCGGAGCAGATTCTCGATGCTAAACTGAGCACAGACAACACCTCTGCAAAAAGGCCAAAGATGAAGAGGTGGTGGAGATACTCAAAGAGATCATCCAAATGAAGTGATTATTCGAAGGAGAAGGTTTTCGTTTTGATTTGATCCAACATTGTGAACCGATGTATGGATTAGGAATATGATGGGCAATTAGCTAGCCTGTCATTGAAATGAAGCGAGAAACACATCCGTTGAAAAAAAAAAAGGAGTTCTCGAGTTGTGGTTGTACAGTAGTAACTAAACGCGTTTTTGTTTCTTGTTTTCAGCTTTCATGATTTTTTAGATTTATCAACTAAACAGGTTTGTGTTTTCTGTTTTTTTCTTGTTGTGGTTGTACATCTGTTTACACAACACCACTGCAACCACAACAACAACAAAATGATACTAAACGGGCCCTTAGTTTATGGGGTCATTTGGATCTAGATTTTTAATTTGTGGGATTTTGGCTCAAATCATTGGTCTAAAAACCCAGGTTTTTAATTTGTGGAATTTGTGGGGATTTTAAAATAGCTGATCACCATCAACTATTTCATAATCTCACAATTGTGGGTTTCTGAAATCTCTAATATTTAAAATCTCTGAAGATTCCTTGAGAAAGAAGGCTGTTATGGCTTGGGGGTTACTGGCTATTCCTAAGAAAGAAAGGGGACTTGGTGTTAGGTGTTTAAAGACATGGAATGTGGCCTGTACTACAAGGCATATATGGGCTCTTTTAACCAAAGAAGGGTCCTGGTGGGTTGCCAGGAACTATCTTTATAGGATTAAGGACCTTACATTCTGGGAATTGGGGAACTGCAGTACTGCCTCTTGGGTTTGGAAGAGACTCCTAAAGGTCAGGGACAAGGTGGAAGGGTTCTTCAGATGCTGGGGGACACAGGTGTATTGGAATGACAAAAGGATGCTGTCTTACTCTGTGAAGCAGGTGTGGAATGATTTGCAACTGGTGAGGCCTAATGTGGAATGGTACCAGCTGATCTGGGGGAGATATTCTATTCCAAAACATAGTTTTTTGAGCTGGGTTATAACTCGAAATAGAATTACTACTCTAGGACAGTTGCATAGCTGGGGGAAGGTGGCAAGTGCAGATTGCTTACTTTGTTTGGTTCATGTAGAAGACAGGGACCATCTATTTTTTAACTGCCAATATACATCTCAGGTGCTGAAGGGATGTCTACTCATGCTGCATTTACCTTGCCCTCAGTAAAGCTTGTATGATGCTTACTTGCAGTGGGCGGTTAGAACATTCAAGGGAAAGAAAGCTGTAGCCATGATAGGACGGTTGGTTTGGAACCTGGCAGTGAGTTTGATTTGGAGGGAACGCTGTAGTAGATTGTATGGTGGTTCTGCTGTACAATCAGGAGAGTTGATCAGGATGGTTCGAAGGACAATTGAAATGGCCAGACTTGGTAATGCAGCTCTGGATGTTGATTGTAGTGTAGTTTTCAGTTAGTAAACTTTGTGAGTAGTATAGTTCTTGGTTTATTGTATTGTAGTGTGGTAGAGAGTGGAAATTAGCAGTAGAGATAGATAGCTGCTGCCTGTAAAAGATCCAGATGTGTTCCCCTTTGATCTAAAAGGGGTCACATAGAGCTTAATAAAAATTTTTGATATTGCCCATAAAAAAAAATATATTTAAAATCTCTTATCATATAATTGCTTTCCAAACGAGTGATTTTAATAAAATCCCACATTATGTAGGATTGTGTCCAAATTCCACACCCAAAAACCTGCATCCAAATGACCCCATAGTGATTGCTGAAAACTGTTTCGTAAACCGTGATTTGGGCCTGGGATGGAAACGAAATAGAAATATTTTGGGCCTCTGAAACAGAATCCCGGGCAAAATAGGTAAACAAAAGAACCGCGAAAAGCAAAGCTCTTCCCGCCGGTTCCCCCTCTTTCCTTTCTTCACTCATTCTGGAGCGACGGCGAACAAACCCCCGAATCCCGAACTTTCCCCTCTGCTGCCTTCTGTCGCCCCGCCATGGAGATAAACGATGGCGAAGAAGAGGAGGAGTTCGAGTTCTCTCGGAATTACTTTTTGGCGAAAGAGTTGGGCGGCTCCAGTAAGAAATCCGGCCGCAAGATCTCCGATATTGATCCCGTCGACGAGCAGGTAAAGGGGTTTTTCTAATCCGGCCTATATAACCCGGTCGCCGGAGGTTGGGCCTCGCTGATCTACATTTTCTTGCTGAATCCAGGAGCTAAGAACGGCCGCCAACAACCTTGAGCCGAAACATGAGAGAGAGGTTGCTTCACTTATGGAGAGCTACAAGGCTTCGTATCCTGAGTGGGGTTTCATGCTCAGGTAATAAGGCTTGCTTCCCTTTTACACCATGGTTATAAAAACAGCCAGTCAAAAATGAAGCTCAATTCGAACTTTCGAGCATGCTTTTCCATCCCCATTTCCTCGAGTTGTAGCGGCTTTGCCTATTCTTACTTGACCTCAAGGGAAATTGGGGTTTTGCTTGTGCGTTGACTGTTAGTAAATTTGATCCGGTTTGCTTAGTATTCATGCTGGTTATTTTGTGGGTAAGGTTGGTCTGGTAGTGTTCTGATCGAAGCTTATGTTCTTTGTTATGGGCGACTAGGACCGGTTTTGGACTTCTTATGTATGGGTTTGGTTCCAAGAAGGCCTTGATTGAAGATTTTGCTTCTACCTCATTAACCGAGTATTCTGTGGTTGTAATCAATGGGTATGTTCAGTCTATCAATCTGAAGCAGGTAAGATGACAAACAAGCTTCATTTGCACACCTGATTTTTTCTATGCTAGTTCTTATGCTGCATAATGTTGTCTCTTGAGTGAAAAGGTTATGGTTGCCATAGCTGAAGTATGGTGGGATCAACTCAAGGCTAAGAGAAGAAACTCTCCTTCTCAAGCTCAACAACCATTTAACTCTCGATCTATTGACGATCTTCTTGCATTTATGGATGGGCAAGAGGCGGATGATGATAAGTCCTTTGTCTGCATCATTGTGAACAATATTGATGGGCCTGGCTTAAGAGAACCCGAAAGTCAGCACCTTCTTGCTCGAATCGCTTCTTGTACACATATCCGCATCATTGCCTCTATTGACCATGTCAATGCTCCACTGTGTAAGTCCCCCCAGCTTCCTCTTTGGCCGCTGCAGAGAATCAAAAGACTTGAGAGCATATTTCAGTTCCTATTAATACAATTGAATTCTGGTGTCTTGTTTACTCTTGCTTTTTGGCATGTTAGTGTGGGATAAGAAGATGGTTCACACCCAGTTCAACTGGTACTGGTATCATGTCCCTACCTTTGCACCTTACGTGGTTGAAGGAGTGTTCTTCCCTTTGATACTCGCGCATAGCAGCACAGCGCAGAGTGCGAAAACAGCTGCAATAGTTTTGCAGAGTTTGACTCCCAATGCCCAGAGTGTGTTCAGAGTACTTGCGGAGTATCAGCTTTCTCATCCTGACGTAGAAGGCAAGTAATTATGATCCCACTCGTGGTGACTTTCTCGACCACTACCCTGCTCCACATCCCCAATCTCACTATTTTTTAAACTGTATCCCATTCTTTTCTCTCTCATTTTTTGCAGGCATGCCGATTGAAAGCTTGTATGCAGCCTCGCGAGAGCGGTTCCTCGTGTCAAGCCAGGTTACACTGAACTCTCATTTGACGGAGTTCAAAGATCACGAGTTGGTCAGGACTAGAAGGAATGCTGATGGTCAAGACTGCGTCTATATTCCTCTTGCTAATGATGGGTTGCAGAAGCTGCTGCCGGAGATCAATCCATAGCGTTGTTTGCCCTTTCTGTAACAGCCATGAAGGATGATGTTTGTACTCAATCGTTCCCTGGGTTTTGCTGTTGGAAGTTCTATTGAATTGGGGGGGGAGGAAAGATCTGAGAACACTACTCGATTATGTTGTCCACAACTTGTGAACTTAGGTCGGTTGAGTGAGATGCATCATGAATGAAGAGGTCCAATTTTGCACTATGTAACTGCAACAGCCTCATGGACGTTGCAATTTTTCTTTTCTTTTTAAGACATGAGTAAGGAGATTTCAGTTCCAGTGGAAGAAGATTTCCCCGCTTAAATTTTTAAATGAGTTTATTGAAACTTTATTTTTTTTATAAATGATTTAAGGTCGAAGATGTAGTGGAAATTTCAATGAGTTGTCATCATGGTTTGAGATTGATGGAAGTCCAGTAAATGTGGAAGAAAGTCTATCACGCCACCTTAGAAAGAAGGTTTGTAAGAACCTTTTGGAAGCTAATTCAGGTCCCATGTTATAATCTCTTGCAATGAATTTTGTGTCTACAATAAGACATCAATGATAATCTATTGTGAGATATAAGGTGTAGATATTAAATAGTATAAGGAAACCATTAAGCTCAACTATGTTTAGGAAGGAAAAAAATGTTTATCTAACGAAAGGTGAAAATGAAGTTAGAGATAGGAAAAAAAATGTCTATCTAACTATGTTCAGCAATCCACGTTCTTCATTGTTTTTAAGGCCGATCCTCCACAACATAATAAATTACTTGAGTTATTTCCTACAATCCTCCCCTCTAGAAACCCCTCAAACCTCTGTCGGGCTTCCGCTAAAAAATAGACGAAGAGGCTTTTAGGTTACCCACTTGCTTTTCCTTTTGTGATTTATTGTTTTGTAATCGAAATAATCTGATTTCATTCAATTTTTTATAATTTTTTTTTAACAAACAATTTTTTATAGATGAGTGTTGATATATACGATCCTCGATTGTATATCGATCCCGGGTCAAGGGATGCACAGTATTTAACCGAGCATTTAACACATTGTTCCCGTGCCATTTAGCACAATAATCCTGTAGACATGCCATACCGTCTAAAACTTTAATTTTCAGTATTTTGTTTTCCTTTCACTAATAGTTTGCTAATTTTGCAATTTTTTTCTTAGGAATCACACTCATTCTCATCACCCATAGAGGGACTTCATGCTTGCTTGAATGACATGACCGACTAAAGTCGTATATAGAGAAGACGGGTTTGGAAATGATGAGACACTTCATGCGGATTGAGATCGACAACAATCTGTTGATGGCAATGTTAGAAAGGCGGGACCGAATTACACACCTTTCCCTTTCCTGAGTGGGAAATGACGATCACTCTCAGAGACATTATCATCCTCACCGGGATGCCGATCACTGGAGAGGGCATTATCGGCACCTCGAGAGTTCCCGAGAAGGCTTGGGCCCTAGATTAGGGAACGTTTGGACTTTGACATGCCGACGACGACGACAATCCAAGGACGGGGGCATCCACCGGTGAATGCAGGACAAATATTAATCATGTGGCTTGTTGATCACATCCAAGAGGAGGTTGAGATTGATGCATACACCTCCGAAAAACAAGTGGAGCGGTATGCACTTGTCTACCTCATTGTCTTGGTTGGTGGATTCATGTTTACAAACAAGGAGAATAGGTGGGTACATGACATGTGGTTATCGTTGCTGCTCGGTGACTGGGACGAGATCCGAAGAAAGAGCTGGAAGTCAATCGTGTTAGCGACGATCTATCGAGAACTGTGTATATGCTCGAACATGGGTGCGAAACAAGCTGGGGATGGTATGTTCATCCTCTCGCTCTAGGCATGGGTTTTGCACCCTTCTATGTCTATTTCACAGTTCGAAGTGACTGAAATAAACAACACATAGTAGACTGAATACTATGGCGCCAAAATTATTTTCAAATTCCCAAGCATGAGTAGCATATGAAGAAGAAAGAGTTGGGAGCGATTCAAGTTTCAAAGAGATTTGCGCATAAAATATGAAAGAAACAGCTAAGGGGAGCCCCATCCACCACCACCAGGTGTAAGTATCTGAAGAATCTCACCAGCCTGAACCTCGACCGTGTTCTTACCACCCAGGTAAATCCTCCTCTTATCCCTCTTGATCAAATAGTTCTCGCCGCGAGCTCCATCGTCCCCGCCAGCCAACCCTCTCGGCGCATGAACCCGCCTCTCCGACAGAATGCTCACCACAACCGGCCTCCTGAACTCAATCTCCCTCACAATCCCATCTCCTCCCTTGTTCACTCCCAACCCGCCGCTCTTCTCCCTCATCCCAAACCGGTGCAGCAAAACTGGATACCTCTGCTCGAATATCTCCGGATCAGTCATCCGAGTATTCGTCATATGACACTGCACCCCACTCGTCCCTTCCCACGTCGGCCCTGCCCCACTCCCACCTCCGATCGTCTCGTAGTAACCAAACGAGTCGTCCCCAAACGTGAGGTTGTTCATGCACCCCTGAGAGCAAGCACACGCCTGGAATGCTGTGAGTACAACGTCGGTTATTCTCTGCGACGTTAGCACGTTGCCTCCCACGACGGCAGCTTTGTCGCTTGGGGAGAGAAATGAGCCTTGAGGTATGTGGATCTCGACAGGGGCTAGGCAGCCTTGGTTCAGAGGGATGTCGACGTTGACTAAGCAGCGAAGGCAGTATATGACTGCAGCAGCAGTCACTGCTTCAGGTGCATTCCAGTTGCCGTACACCTCTGGACTTGTCCCGTCGAAATTGAAAGATGCTTCCCCCTTCTCACCGTTGATGGTCAGCTTCAGATGAATGGTGGAACCGTCGTCCATTAGATCCTCCTCTTCTATGGTGACGATGGAGCTGCGCGAATCATTTGGAGACTGAGATGATGAGACTCTCGAAGCTACAGACTTCAGCATTTCCCTCACTGCTTCTTCCGCGTTTAGTTGGACATAGGTCATGTAAGCTTGAACAGTTTCCAGACCATACTGCTCGATCAACTCTTTTATAAGGGAAATTCCCCTCCGGTTTGCAGCTATCTGTGCATGGAGATCGGATAGATTATCCTGAAGCCGGCGTGTTCCTGGGATTTTGAAGTGACCTCCTGCGCCTGAATCGTCCAGAGAAGAGCCGGGGAACTGCAGAAGCCTGATGATTCCTTCTTCTTGAAAAACGCCTCCTTCCACCAACTTGAATGCTTTGATTGCTGCCCCTTCTTCAAATATGGACTTCGAAAATGGTGGCATGCTTCCAGGCGTTATGCCTCCAATTTCTGCATGGTGGCCTCTGCTAGCTACAAAGAAGACCAGTTTGCCTTTCTCGAAAACAGGAGTAATGACTGTTATGTCTGGAAGATGACTGCCTCCAGCAGAAGGATGATTAGTGACTAATACATCGCCTTCATTTAGGCTATCACCCCAGTGATTAAGCTGCCATCGAACAGTGCTGGACATAGCTCCGAGGTGGACAGGGACATGGGGCGCATTAGCAACGAGGCCTCCATCAGGGCCAAAGAGAGCACAAGAGAAATCTAACCGTTCTTTGATGTTTGTTGATATCGATGTTCTTTGCAATGTCCTTCCCATCTGCTCGGCTATTCCCATGAACCGGTGATTGAAAATTGAGAGCTGGACAACATCAGCGACTTTCTCAGATATTTTGACAGCCGGGCCCACATCAGAGTCGAGTTTGATTTTGATGTTCCCATACTTGGTTATATTTGCCTTACAATTGGGTTCCACTATCACGGTACTGTTTCCATTCATGATGATTGCAGGGCCAGGGATTACATGTCCAAACCCTAGATTCTCAAGCCGGAAAAGTGGTACCTGGTGCCATCCCTCTCCGAAGTAAAGCTGGTAAGGATTACCCTCTGATTTTGGTGTACCAGTAGCAGGTTCCAACACCTGTGGCTTCAATATGTTTGTAACTCCAATACCACGAACTCTGACATCACAAATTAGAATATTCCTGTTCTGTAGCTTGAATCCATACTCTTGCTGGAACATCTTCACAAACTCCACATCATAATCAGAAACTGATCCATCTTCATTCACATTCCCCTTCACCATTATTGCGGTATCTGTACCTTCATACCTTAAATTCAGATAGGTTTCAGTTGTTATGTTTCCCTCTCTGAAACCTTGCTCCTGTAATGTCTGTTTTACCTGGTTTAGTAACACGCTTTCTCTGTGGGAAGCCTCTAGGATGGACTCAGGTCCATAAACAGCTGAGTATGGCTCTTGAGCCTCTTCCACTACATCTGCCAACCCCATGCCATAAGCACTCAGTATCCCACAAAACCTGTGAATCAGTACTTCTGTCATACCCAACGACCTTGCAATAGCACAAGCATGCTGAGGGCCAGCACCTCCAAAGCATGCCAGAGCATGATTCCTTGTCTCGTGCCCTTTCATCTCAGTCAGCTGCCTTATTGGGCGACACATGGTCTCATTTGCAACATTGATAAAACCAAGTGCAATTTCTTCCACTGACATATCTTTGGCACTCGAATCCTGGCTTTTCCTATACGAGTTTATTTCTGCAGCAAGTTTCCCGAATTCTTTTCTCGTAGCTTCAATATCCAAGGGTTGATCCTCATTGGGCCCAAAGATGGAAGGAAAGTAATCAGGAATGACATATCCTAGAATGAGGTTAGCATCCGTAACAGCCAATTCTCCTCCTTTCCTGTAACAAACAGGACCTGGGTGTGCACCAACTGATTCAGGACCTACCCTAAATGCTCCAAATTGGAACTTCAATTTCGATCCTCCACCAGCAGCAACCGTGTTAATATCTAGCTGAGGTGCCTGTATAATAGCACCAGCAATCTGAGTTTCAAGAACTTGTTCATAACTCCCAGCATAACGGCTCACGTCAGTGGAGGTACCTCCCATGTCAAACCCAATGAGGGGCTTCTCCGTTTCAAGCCCAAAAAGGGTTTGCGAGTAACCAACCACCCCACCAGCTGGACCAGACAAAACAGCTTTGTGACCTGAGAACCTACTTTCAGGTGCAAGCCCTCCATCCGATTGCATAAACAGAACATTCAGCTTTCCTAATCCTTGGTCAAATTTAGATATAAACCCTGACAAGTATTCTTTGATGACTGGGGTTAGGTATGCATCAACACTAGCTGTTAGACCACGAGGAACAGCTCGAACCATCGGGGTCAAAGCCGAAGACAAGGAGACGTGCTTGAAACCCAAACTCGAAGCCACTTTCGCTACAGCTACTTCATGGTCAGGAAAAGTATAAGAATGCAGCAAAACTACAGCCAGACAGCTGACCCCTTTCTCCAGCAAACATTTCAATTGAGGCTTCAAAGCGGCATCATCAAGTGGTTTCACAACCCTGACAAGCTCACCTGAAATTCCTTTAACTACGGCTGATGACGACCCATCTTCCTCCTTATCAACAACAAGCTGAACTCTCTCATCAACCTCAATAACCTCCTCGTAAAGGTTTGAAGGTTTTGACACTGTGAGGTCGAAGATATTGGGACGAGCCTGGTTGCCAATCTGTAGCAGATCCTTGAATCCTTTAGTCACGCAGAGAGCAATCCTTTCACCTTTTCTCTCCAACAACGCATTTGTTGCCACTGTTGTACCCATCCTAATCCACTCTATCTTGTCCGTAGGGATTTTGGAATGGCGAGGGATCTTAGACCCCGTGTGCTCTTCAAGGATCCTGCGAATCCCTTCAACCGGAGCATCGTCGTAGTTTGCTGGATCAACTGAAAGAAGTTTCAGAACTCGACCGTCAGTTCTGCCGGGAAGTTCGGCGTAGACGTCAGTGAATGTGCCGCCTCTGTCGATGCAAAATCGTAGTTTCTCTTCCCCCATGGCTGACCTCCAAGGTTCGGAATTGGAATCTTAGAACCGTTGGTATCGAGGGTCACAGAATAAAGTAGATAATCAGAATTGGGGATTGATTTGGGGGAAAACAGAATTGGAAGATGGGAAGAATAAAAAAGCATAGGGTGGGGAAGATAATTGAGCCGTAGCTCTAGTCTAGGCAGAGAAGGAGAGACTAGAGAGTCGGACGTGGGGAAGGGAGAGAGGAAAAAGAGAGATAGGTTTAGGGTTTACCAAGGTTGTCAAACTCGGTTAACTAATTGAGCTGGCTAAGTAAGTGGGTTTAGATTTAATGGTTTGATCAGAATTTGACCGGTTTGTGCCATTTTATACGTTTTCTAAATATATGTAGAATCTCCCAAGAAGCCTCAAGTTCATCACTCTCCCTCTACATCTTCCACAACTATGTTTTTATCTCTCTATGATGACTCCCTTTGCTCAAATGTAGGGAAAGGAGTTATATAGTGAAATCTAAGGCACGTCACGACCTCCATGCATAACTAGAGGGGTTGTCACGGCTTCCAGGCCGCTGCCCTTAATGAAACGAAAAGTACAAGGCTTGTCGCAATCGTGACTTGATAAACGTCGCAGAATGGTTGTTCTCCTCTGTGTCTTGCATTCATTCACGAGCACCGATATCGCAGCCTTGATCCTGAGATCACGGGCGTGATCTGGAAATTGCGGCCCGGATCTTTCACGCAATACGAATCCTTCTTGGCCACTAGTCGGGTCGTCAAACTTTCTGTGCATTTCTGCGTGGGAGGGTACATCTCGGCCTGGAGGTCCCGGCCGACCATGACTTGCTTAAAGTCATCTTTTCACCTTTCTTTTCACCCTTGTAATGACCTCTGATTGGCACGAAACTTGGCGTGCCTTTCCTCATCATGTTAGGACCCGAGATTAAGCTAGAAAATACAACGTAACCTAGAATAGAATGCGAATGGACAAACTTCAAGCCAAATGGCCAAGTGATAACAATAGTGCCTAAATCTTCGAGTATGAAGATAATAAGCAATTATAGCACAAAATCCATCTCAAATAGCTAAAGATGATTATGGCATGCAAACACCTAAGAAATGGAAGATCAAATAGCACCAATTTAGGTGTTATCAAAATATTGTTGTGGATGATGGGTGGGAGGTAGGTTGGTTCGCTTATTTGTGGTGCACCGACTAAGTATCGATTATTATCAACAACCAACAGATTAGCTGAGAAGGCAAATACACACAACCATGACCGCCAACCAAATGATTTGAGCCGTTTTCAATTAGCCAAATAACCAACTTTTCAGTTTGGTTTTGCGGTTAGACCATACAACCGACAAAGGTAAATTATCCCTACACACTACACTAGTAGCCAGAAGGTTTACAAAGATACAGTGAGCAACTCACTCCTAATGGTAGATGACAAGCATGAAATCACCTATTTGTCAGCAGCCACCCATCAATCTAAGCGCCATCGATCATACTATGAGACGATTATGGTATGTTTAGGTTCCAGAACTGGGAAAGTGGTTGGCTAAAAAATCATTGCACATAAAAGTTTTACAGATATCAAACAGAGCTGGTCATTCTGCTCGAATTATACATGGGCTGATAACCTACCATACAAACTGAACATCATGTTGATCATACTTGCTGACCTGACCTATCAGTAATTTTTATGCTTCAGTCGTCAAGAAGAGAATATCACGAATCTAGTAACAGTAATGCCTTAGATGACAGTCATTAGATGCTTTTTTAGCATATGTCTGGAGGGAAGTGTCCTGGAAACGAGCTAGGTTGTTGTTGTGCTCTTTGTAAATGAAGCTTTAGAGCGTAGTTGTTTAGCTGCACAGCAGAAAGAAAAAAGCCAAGTTCACCATCATGGAATAATAATACCACCAAACAGCAAAATATTTAACTGTTGCTCACTACCTTGTACTTCTTTACCTTATTGGTAAGCCAATTTTGTATTACTATCATCATCAACTTGAACCAAATTAGAATCCAGATATACACAGTTCCAAGTTAGAGACTTGGTAGGAACAAGAGGACTCAAAACAATACGTAATGGACATTACCTCCAAACTACGAACTTGCTCTTGATACTGGTTCAACACAAGCTTCAAGTTGTGCACTTCCTTTGCCTTTTCTTCTTGCTCCAAGTTTCGTTCATGCTGGATGGCAACAGCTCTCTTTAAGATTTGGTTGTCATTTACCAAACCTTGAAGATGATCCCTAAGTGATGCATTCTCCATCTGTTTTATGTTTTCACCAAGAGACCAACCAAATAACAACTACTAAGAGTCAAGACAGCGCTAAGGTCAGGCTATCAAAGACAGAGTCAGAAGTGAAGTACGAGTCGCGACCAATTTACAGCTAGAGAGTTGTGAATGATCTAAACTACCATCTTCAGAAACAATGAACAATACCTCTTTCTCTTTGGATACGTCCCTGGACTGAGAAGCAATGGTTTTTTCAAAAGCTTCTAAAATGCTAGCTGCTCGCCTCCTCGCATCATCGAGATCGGCTGCAGTCATCATCTCGTGTACAAAAAGGTCCACCCATTTGGAACCATCAATGGGATTATCGAAGTGAATTGATGGTTTCACTTCTTGTGCCTCTTCTTTCCCCATTTGTTGAGTGCCTGAAAAAACTTACAAAGTTCAGGTAACCGAGACTGGTGGGAAATCAGAAGCTAACCACAAACTGAGACTTCAAATTACGAAAAGCCAGAGCAGAAAGCCATACAAGTAGATGCGCTTGAAGAAGGAACATCATTTCTATCCACAGCATGATGAAATGGACTTCCCTGCAGACTCTCGATAGCAGCATCGATCCTGTTATTGTTCTCCCTAAGAGCTGTTTTCACCAACTAAACAAACCAAAAGAAGCTACTTTAACCAGAATTGCAACTCTCAGTACAACAGAAAGTCAAACGGCGGAAATGTGAAGGGGAATATTCAACAAAACAGCATTCATCATTCATCTGCACATCAATGGAACTGGTGGAAGCATTTCAAACCAAGGCGCACAAATTTCACCTCAGGATCCAGAGCAGGGAACATCTGAAGCAAGGTGAGAACTTTATCATCAGATCCGGACCCAAGTTCAGGGGATCGTGTGGGAGATCCATAAGCGGAGCACCTGGATCTCTTCACCGAATAAGAGGATTGAGAGCCAAAAATCTCCTCGAAACCAAGCCGCTTCCCACAAATTCCAGCCGACATCGTTAAACCCTAGAGATTTCCTGCAACCCTCCTTTTTTTTTTTTGGTCTTCCTTTTTAATTCCTTCACCGCAAAAAAAACCCAGAAAGCAAAAACCACAGCGAGAGAATATCCACACACACAACAAAACAAAACAAAAAAGGATATTTTAGTTTGCATCCATATCTTCCATATCCGTCGCTCGAAGTTTTCTTGTTGTGTGGTTTTACTGCTGTGTTGCGTTCCAGAGGTTTTTGACGAGAGAGAATGGTGGAGATGGAGAGGTTTGGTGGGGCGGAGAGATTATTGGACTGTGGGGTTTGAAATCAATTATTAAATCTGTATGTTATGTGATGTAATAAAAAGCGGTGGGGGATAGGTTTGCTTGCTTTTATGATGAGAGGAATCGTTTCCAGATTTTCCTTTTGGAGAGGCTCTGCATTAGTACAACAATAATAGCAAGTATATAATGGTGTTTACTTTCTGGGGTTTTCTTTTAATACAGTTTTCTTTTGGGCTTTGGGTGGTAGATGCAAGAAAAGGACGCGCCACTGCGTTCTGGCCTTCTGGGGAAGAAGCAGCGGTAGAGTTGAGGTCGAGGACGTAATTGATAAACAAAAAAACGTGAAGGAACAAGGAAAGGAAGGAATTAATAGACGGCTGTGCGGGGCTGTGAGACCATTTTGCCAAATTTATTTAATTCGACCCATTATTTTGTTTGTATCTTTCCTATTGCTTTGACTTCTTGGTGCTTAGGATCCAACTCCGGCCATGTAATGGGCTCACATATTCGAACCTTTCATTCTAATTTGGGCCATGTAATGGGCTCACAACTCCGGCCATGTAATGGGCTCACATATTCTAATTTAGGCTATATAATGGGCAACGGGAAACGGGTATTTGTGTATACTCGTACCCGTTTATTTTTTTAGGGTTACGGGTAACCAAATACATGTAATATATATTAGCGAATGGGATTTGGAATTGTAAAATGCTACATTGGGTACCCACGGGTTACTCGCTAGTCGCTACTACATGTTTGGGTAGTACGAGTACCCTTGACTCTAACACACACAAAATGAAATATCTAAGATACGAGAAGGAAAAGAGACTCGACACAATCGATTTACGTGATATCCCCGTTCAAATTATTTTGAGTGTATAAGGAGCATGCGATGGGCTGGCTTGAGCATGTGAACTTCGAGGATTGTGTTTCATGTGCCACTCCCATAGAGAAAAATTAGAAAATCCGAGAATCGGATGGAGGAATTTTCCACGATGGGTCACAATATTGAAGTCTGGTGGGTAGTCTCATATATCTCACTCACACTAAACCTGGTATTTCCTATGTGGTACATGTGGTTAGTCAATTTATTAATGCACCACTAACTCATCATTTGACTGCAGTTCACATGATTTTATGTTAGTTAAATTGAACACATGATGTGGGCTTGTTGTTATTGAAGCTTATGTTGATGCTAACTGTAATGGTTGTTTGGATACTCGCCGCTCTACCTTTGGGTGGTGTGTGAAGGTTGGGAAGTTTTTTGTATCTCCTAGTGAACAAGAGGCACAAACATGTATTGAAGTCGTAGTCACAAGCCGAGTTACGCTCTATGTTAGATGTCACTTTTGACATGCCTGGTTACAATGCTTGTTGGTAGAGTTTGGTATGGATTGTCAATTAATGGTATGATTATATAACGATAACACAACGACAATTTGGATAGCGACAAGTCCTATTTTGCATGGTGTGAAAAACACATAGAGGTTCATATTCACTATATCTCCAACTAGCTACCAAGGGGGGTTATTGAGCTTGCCTAGAATAGTTCTAAAGGTCAAGCAACAGATATATTCACTAAGTTTGTTTTATCAACTCCTCCTTGGTGCTTACCAAATTGATGTTGCGAAAGCACCATCAATTTGAGGGAGAGTGTTAAAAGGGTAGGTAGGTAAATTTAATCAACCAAACATAATAAGTGTTAATTAGATGAGAAGTCTCGGATAGGGTTGACGAGTTGTATATATATATACATTGATGTATACAACACTAGGTAACTTTTGATGGAAAATTTAATAATAGAGACTCTGAGATGATCCCTCTCTACGGACCAGTCTCAACTATCATAGTTGAGGAAATCATGTAGATCTCATCTTCTTTTGATTATGCTTGTTTCATTTTACAAATACGACACTTGAATGTCACATATTATGCTATTTATTTAAAGTTAAATTTCCTTGGCTAAACCTAGTAGTAAGCCATTTGAATAAAAAAAAATTGGCATCATTGTTGGGGAGTCTAGATTATTATGAAAGGATTGAGCTACTACTTTAGCCTTTTCTTTCTTGCTTTTGCATTTTTTTTACTTTGATTTTGTTGCATCGCACCCTGCCTTCTTCCACAATAAAACCTCTTTTTGAGCAATATCTTTTGGGAACAAGGTATTGAATGATATTGTCAACAAGTTGGAGGAGATGATGACACAATTTGTGACCACTTCTAATAAGAGGTTTGATGTCTTGGACAAGTTTATTAAAATTTTCTCTCACCGATTCCAAGTATTAGAAGCGCAACAAAGGAACCATAAAGACTCATTGCAAAAACTGGAGGCCCAAGTTGGCACCATCACCCAAGCTCTCACTAAAATACTTAAGGTACTCTATGGAAAATACCAAGCCCAAACTGAAGGAGGGTTGCCATGATCTTCTTACAAAGTGGAAAATAGATACAAGATCCAAGGCATCTGGTGAACAAGAAAGAGATCTTCAAGAGAAAACAATGGATGAGAAAGCTGACGAGAATAAAGCATCAATTGATGAGGCTAAGGAGGAAGAGAAGAGTTCAACTCAAAATCAGGAACCCAAAATGGACAACTAAAAGGACATTAATTGGAGAAGGCTTAGGAGGAAGAAAGATTTCAACTCCAAAGCAGAAATCCAAGGAGGTTAAGTGCATGACAAACCCCCCCTTCTCATCATTGCTCAACAAATAAGAGATAAAATTCAAATGTGCGAAGTGGGGCTGATGAGTTCAAGCAACTTCTCCTCTGTATGTACTTAAATGATGAGATTTTGTGCTTTGTTTAGCATGTTGATATTTGGATGATGCACATTTGAGCGAAATTGAGATAACAGATAAGACACGAGAATCGATGGCATTCATATTTTATGAAGATCACTGATTTTACAATAAACGTCATACACATTGACTTGTGTTGTTGTTGGGTTCTCCCATGCAATCAGTTCTTGTACTTCATTCTCAATCTCTTTTATTTCTCTAATCAAACTACCGATGCAGAACCCTAGCCCACTTAAGCAAAGAATCATCTGGCTCTTCACCTTCTGTTCTGCTTCTTTTTTATCAATGACATCACCTAATTCCCTCAAGTGTTGGAGGAAACCATTCACTAGGTTCGAAACTGTTACCTCATCAGGTCCTAACATCATCTTCAACTTATCTCCTTCTGGTGGTTTCCCCAATTCAATGTCGCAAGATGATTTCTCCTTGTGCAACCCATCTTCAAGGTCTGTGAGGAACTCAAAGGAGATGACTTTTTGTAAGCATTTCAATGTTGAGCCAACCTTGTCTCTGAAAAGTTCTAGATCAGCATTGATGTCTTCTACCCTTTTCTGATCGAGTTGTAGTCTGTCTGCTCCATATGAGAACACTTCAGATTGATTGCAAACAAAGAGCAAGAGGTCGCTTGCTTTTCTTAGAGATCCTAGCAATTTCTTGTAGCAAGTAGCATGGAAGGGCAGAAACCAGAAATTAGGCTCCACCTCTGCTTCCATGACGAATTGGTTCAGCTTATCAACATGGCATTCCAGAATTTTCTGCTTATCTCTCTGTGTCGTACTTGAAAAGAACAAGCCTTTTCTGTCAGTGCACAGAGTAAAACCTTCTACACAGTCTCTGAATGCTTCTAATCCCCAAGCAATCTCCGTTCTAGCCAGAGTTGCAGCTCTTGCCGGTTGCAGCACAATCTCGACTGCAACAAGGCAGAGCAGCCCTATGGTTGCTTCCGTGATCCTTGCAATTGCAAATTCACTTGGGTTCCCATAATTCTTCCTCCCCAAGATTAACAATGCACCAATAACAGCCGAAATTCCACCTGCCTGGCCATACATCTTGCTCTGCCTGAGAAAGCTAGCGAAGACGATCCAAGGCAGGACGAGAAGGAATCTCAATTCCACAAGGCCGTGGAACAGGAAGGAGCAGAGGATTCCGTAAACCGATCCCATCGCCGTCCCTTGGGCACGTGCATTGGCCATGGTGAATGTAGCTTGCCTCTCTGTGACGAAGCTGATTGCAATGGTGAGTCCTGACCAGTACCCATTTCTCTCGTTGAACATCAATCCAAATAGCACTGCCAAACCAAGAGAGAGTGAACATTTGAATGCAAAATTCCATCTTTTTGTTCTCACAGCCGTCCATGTCCTCTGTAGCCTCCTGGTTCCCTTTGTTATGTCAATGTCAGGTTTGGTTAATTCTTCTTCTCCTTCTTCTTCTTCCTCTTCCATCTTTAATCCTCCTTGGAGGAGTTCCATGCAATAGAGAAAGAAGAGAGTTGGGAGATCATCGTGGGCGGCGATGCTAAGTTGCCGCCACCAGGGATAGGCATTGTTGGACGACTCTGTTGTTGTTTCAGGAGCTGTGATGGCATCAGAAGTTGTCAGGCACTTGGCCTGCTCTAGCTTTACATCTATTCTGGATTTCAACCTGGCCGATTCTGCTTTAAGATCGTGATCGTCCATCAAGGCGATGGGAAATGAATGGCAAGAAGAGAGTGCTAGTTCCATTCCTCTGATTGGTGTCTCTACTTCATCGTTCAAGCTTAGGCTTAGAAATTTCAGGTGCGGCCTCTCCCATTTCATACCACCCTGCGAAGGAAACGAAACTTGGAGAATTTTGAATCGTAGCCATAACCGAGCTTGGAAATTTCGAATGTGAAAACAAAACTTACTTGGGCCTCTCTGATGGACTGAAGATGCTTGGCTCCCTCGGCAGCCGGGAATTTCGCCTTTGAAATCAAGTCGGAAGCAGCTTGGTTGTCTTGGGCATTGAGTGCAAGTAGAAGGAAACTTAGTCTCTCTGAAGCATTCTGGATGTACAATCTGCATGTTCTCTTTACCTGCAAAATTTTCAAGAGTCACTCATTATAGAGAGCGTTTACAATGCTAATTAATTTTCTCTTTCAAATAAGGTTCTCTCGGATTCAGCTATTTCAAAGAAAGCTAACAAAGTAAAAGATTATTTTAACCTTAGTTGTGATTTAATAAAGTAAGATTGCGTTGTTGCACCGAGACATGAAGACGCAATTTTATATGATCTCTCAAGTTAAAACAAACATATAAGATAATAATAAAAAATGTAAACTTAATTAAATTATTATGTATGTAATTTAATCTAACTTCAATTTAATCCGATTTGATATGATGTATCCGAGTCATTGCCCACTCCGGTAGAGCAGCACTGATTGCGGGCAGATATGAAGGCGCAAATTTGAGCGAAGAGCTCCTGCTTCCGGCCCCTTTGCTAGTAGGAAGGAGTGGGGAGCGATCCTGTCTACACTGGGTAAAATTGTACCGAATCGATATTTGGATCGAATAGAATCAAATCTAATCTATGCCGATTCGATTTTAATCTTACAAATTATGTTAAATATGAAAAAAAAAAATTGGATAAAATTTAATTTGAACTAGATCGAATCAAACCAAACGGTCAAACATATTATCTTATCACGCTTCGATTCGACGGTTCTGCAAAGAATCGACCTATGCCCACTACTCTTATTTCTTAGCATCAATTCCTCAAACATATTACTATTAGCCGACGGGACAATAGTAATACATGTTATGAACCATATTTGTGTGCAGCTTAAAACAGATTAGGATATTATTGTTCGCTCAGAAATTCGTCCCCAATTAAACAGATCTCTCCATTCCCGTTTCCTTACCATCACATCATCCACTCACAAACAGTATTATTCTCATTGTCAATTCCCCTTTCCCGCCGGTGAATTTCCCCACCATTATATTTGCTAATAATAAGGCGAAATGACGACAATAATGTTCACATCCCTCTTCCTTGCATAGTATTAAACTATTAATTAATCTTTCTTTTTTATAAAACAATGGGAATGTTCGTTTTACTTGTCATTTGGATGGATCAATTGCAAAACAAGACAATTTGACCAATTGTTTCATTTTACAAAATGAATCATTTAAAATGAGCTAATTCAGATTATTGCCCCCACCCCAGACAATTGTAATTGGCTCAAAATTAGACAATTCAGAATTCCCCAGCCAAATTGCTCCATCCATATTTCTTATTGCCAAACGGATCAATCTGGCACAATTGTCTCAAAACGAGACAACTGTGTCAGATTGATCCATGAGAATTCCTCATCCAAACGTTAGAAACTTAAACCTAAAGTTCGTTAACAAACACATTTTTTTCAACTTTAAAATTTCAATTATCATTCGCTAGTCTAACTCTCCCTAATTCACCTCACTTAAGTGTAAAATTTAGAAAAGGCTATAAAAACTCGTAATTTTCCTCCCAAAAAATCATATAAAAAAACACTAAATTTTATTTTCTAAATAAGCTGGAATATTATATACGTAATAATTCAATGAAGAAGAAAAAAAACAACACTAGCTAGAAACGAAAACAATGCTCTCTAATCCATGATAAAGAAATGAATTTGGTAATTTATAATATAGATAGTAGTAGTAGTTTTTTTTTTTTAAGAGATAGCTAAGTAAATAGCATGATGGCTTTGCTTTTTACCTCGTTGTAGCCAAGTCGAGGAAAAGGAAGCAAAACAGCCAAAAGCGAAGCCACCACTCCCAAACCCGTGCTGGCCGCGACCCGAACCGGTTCGACCACCACTCCAATACTCTCTCCTTCTTCCCCATTCTTCACAACCGTACTAACGTACACGATCACCGCCTGCCCGAACGCGATCCGCTTCGCCAGCAGCGGGGTCGACCTCGGCAGCGCCACCACGAAGGCGGTCAACGCCACCGCGGCGGCCGCCCCTTCGCTTCGGGCGAACGTTCCCGGTCCGACCAGCCACAGGGCGAGAACCGAGGCGGCCGTCACCTGGACGGTGGCGTAGAGGGCGCAGAAGCAGCCCTTGATGACCTGTCCCAGCGAGGCCTCCGACACGATCAGGATGGTGGTGACGTAAGAGAAGGCCGGGAAGTGGAGGAGGTTGTGGACCGCGGCGGGAGGGCAGAGGGTGACGGCGCCGACGATGGCGCAGGCTAGCACGGTTCTTAGCGATGAGTAGAACCGGTTCAACCAGAGGGTTTTGGTCGGGTTATTAACCGAAGACGAGGACATGATTTTTTTTTTTTTTTTTGTGGTTGTGTTTGGTTATTATGTGTACGTACGGTTTAATTAGCTAGCTTGGGTTTTTTAGGCTCTGAGGATGAGAATATATATAGGGGGAAATGACGTTGTCCAGGCGGCAAGAATTTGGATGAGGGAGAAAGAAAAAAATGTTAAATTGAGAGGAGAAATAGCAAGAAAGTGTAACGGACTGCTACAGGCGATGATTTTAGTTTGGCCAAATGGTATGTGGCTATTAATTGAAGTGCTATGAATTGTTTGCGAGGGAATCGAGAGGTGAATTTAATGTAACTCGTGATAACTAGTCATAGCCAAAATTAGGGATGACAATTTCGACCTGACTCGATTTATTCAACCTGTTTGACATGTTTTGGGGCGGGTCTGACCTGCCCCGTAGGCGGGGCGGGAATGAGTACCTCTCATCGACTCGACATGTCTTGATCCGTCCCATTCTCGACCCGTTCTGACCTAAGTTACATGTAATTTAGTCAAATTACTTAGGATTTTCCTCTTATTACATCATATTTTAGGTATAATAAAGTTGTAAATAAGTGAAAAATTCAATTTCTCCAATAATTTAACTACATTTTATCAAATTATGGTTTCTTTCTTGGTCTTTTAATTAAAATAATGAATAATTCTAATGTTTTTTTGCATAAATTATATACTCAATGGGTCGACCTGCCCCCGACCCGCACCCCATGATAAATTATCCGACCCAGACCCAACCTGTCATGGGACGAGTATGGGTATCGAAATACCCGCCCCGAACCTACACATTGCCATTCCTAGCCAAAATTTGTAGGATTGAAGACAATTTATGACGATCGAGTATAGGTTCTAGTGTAAAATCTTGGAGAACTTCATCATTTAAGATCTAACTAATAAGAAGGGATATATATGATGGTCCATTACAAGGGATAATGACGAAAATTAGATTTTTTTTAGAACTAGTGGCAATTTTCAGATAGTAGTTAGGACAAATTTCTAAATTTCATACAAAATTTTACCGGATCATATCTCATTCATTTTACTTCAGATTTTTCAAAAATATTTGCGGAAATAGATCGACCTGATGACACACTTACCTTCAAGTGGTCGAACTTCTTTCACTAAGTGGTCTACAACTTGAGACAAACCGGTCTACCGCTTCCAACCATGTGTCTGTTAGTGTTGTGGTATATGATCCACGATGGAACCTCTCCCAATAACTAGAGTTATTGGGACCAACTTGTTCTTGACATGGTATCAGAGCCTCGAACCAAAAGGTCATGTGTTCGAATCTCCACGACCCCCAATATTAACCGTTGTCTTTCAAGCACATGGTATGGTGGGCCTGTGCAAACTTCAAGCCCATGGGTTGGCTTTCGTTTGAGGGGGCGTGTTAGAGTGTGGTATAAGATCCAGCAGAACCCTCTCCCAACAACTCGAGTTATTGGGATCAACTGGTTCTTGACAGTGTCAACCTATGACACACTTGCCTTCAATTTACGCCCGCTTGTTAGAGGAGGTAGACTGCTTCTGGCAAAACAACCTACCGATTTTGTAAAGTGCTTAAGTACCTCTTTCAGCGATTGATCTTCGCTTTCAGTGAACGGTTGACCAAATGACACAGTTACTCATACTTACATTAGGGAAATAATGAACAATAGGAGACCAACAATACAAAATTGTTTTGTAGCGACGCAACATCCTACCACCTGTTGGTAACCAAATCCCTACGCAGATTATAGACCAAGACAAAAAGAACCAACACTCTCTTTTAACACTTCTTGGAATAAAAATCCACAATTGTGAGATATATGGACGTTGAAGATGACACACTTGTATAACAATTGTACTCTACTTTTTGAGTATTTTCATAACCACAAAGTTGTTCCATCACATGACAATTATAGGATAAAATCAAGCAAACTTAGAATTCGAAGGAAATATGAAAGTCTCTATAGAGTAAGTCAAATATAAGAAATAAATATGCAGAATATCTTTCAAATCTACGGGATAACAATCATTCGAGAAACTTGTTATCTATGTTTGGAGCATTTGTACTAATTTTTAATCTCTTACTAGCAAGCATATATATTATTATTGGACTCTAATTATTTATGATTATATCACTAGAAATAGCTCATTTGGTCGACCGGTTTGACGGCCGCAGTGAAGCCCAAACATGTTTAAATTGGGAATATTTCATAAAATGTGTGTATTTTGAGAACTTTTTAAAAACGTGTCACGTGTGTACTTTAGGAACAAATCCAGAATTTTATGTACTATTACTACCAAACATTATCACCATGGTATACGCTAGTAATATGTCTCTTTTTTGTTTCAAAATATAATATGAAGAGTATGGTCAACATAATTTTTTATGGAAAAGAAATTTGAATACTCACTTAAAATGAAAGAAATATAAATATTAAATTAAATTGAAGAAATTATGCAGGGTCAATAACCAAACATGATGCTGATCAGATCTGCTCCATTCTGTTGGTACATAGACGCGCATTCCACTATTTTTTTTTTGTAGTGTATACTGCTCTCACTTTAAGTTTAAGATCTTGGATGACACATAAAATATCTGTAAAATATAACCAAGTCTTAGAATCTATCGGCATAAAATAAAAAAGAACTTCTTCAAATGTTTAGAAGGAAGAAAGAGTACTAGTTGTTGTTGTTGTCATGTTAGTATCTTTTATGACATGAGATATTTGCTAATCACCACAATCACCACTCTATAATTGTTGTGTCAACCGACACAACCCTACAAAAACGCCCATATCCCAAGTGTTAGATGTCTTCTCAAGGAAACGAAATGAGGTTAATCAAATATTATTACCAAACGGAAAAATGAATGTGGTCACTGGTGTTTAATCAACTGACATGCCATTTCAAAACCACGTACTGCCAAATGCCAATGGGGTGGCAATTAACCAATTAACGTTGTTTTCCTTTTGCCTTATCAACTTGATTCTACAATCAAGCAGATTTTGTTATTTATTGCGGGTCTTCACTTGATATATTTGGGATCTTTAATCAGAATACTAAAACGTGTTCTACCAAAAGTTAGCGACTGGATCCGACTCCTCTCAACACAAAGATTTGGGCAAAATTGTACTGTGGAGTTGAACTGGCAAAGTTGTCATATTGAACTTAAGTAGGCTTACCAAGAAACCCTACTTACAAGTAATTCGTGTCCAAACTAAACAATTACGCTAACTAACAAAACTAACTAAGCTAACCCCCAATCACATATGTACAATTTGAGAAGTAATAGTGAGGACGAATAAGGAAGAAACGATATCCCTTTATGTGAAACGACGATGTCGTTCACTTAAGTAGAACGATATCTGTTCAGCTTCTTCAAGTAGTGGTATGCCTTTTAATCTTCAATTCAAATTCAAATTTTTTATATGAGCTATACCGAAAAATTGGCATTTGCCAATACTTGAGATGCTTTGCAAGAAGTACCGAAAGAAGAGAATCATTTGGGAAATAATGGTGGATAGATTGATGTTAAGAATGCCAGCAGTGGGGAATTATCTAGGTTTGGCAGATCTGTCGTGCCAATACCAAATCATATATAGTTGTTTGAGAGCTGGATGAATTCATCCATAAACCACACTTGTCTATGGAATAATTAGTTCTCTTTTTACTATATATAAATGTTTGGGCCATTTGCACGCACAGTTATTTTCCCCCTCCCTTTCCCTCTTTCTTTCCACTCCCTTCCAGCAATTGCGGGTAAGAGAAACTGAGCGGATTGCAAAATCTGAAAGATTCCAAACCCACCATATATGTTTGCTGTGGAAGATGGAGATCGAGCTTGGTCGGCACTCAAATCGCAGCGAGTCCCATCAGAAGGACGACTCAGGGGGATTTCTTTTTTTCAATTGTCAGGCTCATACACGGATTGAGGGATTCTTAGAATCATGAATTGTTTAATTACATTTAGCCCTTCTAGCTGTGTTAGACTTGGCTCATCACTGAACAGTACTCTTAAGAACATTTTCTATTTGTTTGGGTTGGAAACAAACACAACCCAATAACTAATCACTAATCAGAGGGGTTGAGTTACTGTAGCCATAATCATGTCATATATGATAGATAAGAAAATGAGAATTGATGAGACACCAATTGAAGTGATACTTAGTGCGGTTTGGTTTAAGACGATAGTTAAATTGATCAATCGTTATCAATGCATGCATAATAATATGCATGTGTATAAGAAAATCGGTGTATTGTAATTTACATCGTTTGATTTAAATAGGTTAATATTAATTTAGATGAAATGTCACTTTTATTCTTTGTTTTTTATATAAGAAAGCAACACACATAAAAAGGTTGAGATTTAACTATCACTCATTTTGAATGATAGTTGTATCACATTAAGCAAACAATGCATGTATTGTTTGTGCAAAAAGTTCGATAAAACAATGCATTGTGTACAGTGTTGTAACTATCCGAACCAAACAATTATTAAAACAAAACAACCACTAAATTCAAATATTCACATAATGTTGGAAGATATAGATACAACATAAAAGAAATATTAATAAAATATATGCATGATACTCTTACACTCAGTTTCACCACTCTTACACCTGTTTCCGAAGGAAGGAAGGAAAATGGTAAATTTAGAGGGAAGGGAAAATGGGGAAATTTGAAGAGGAGAGAAAAAGTATATTGAGAAGTGTAGTGATGGCAATTGGGTGGGGCGTGTACCTCAATATCCATGCCCCGCCCCACGCTACTACGGGCATGTTTGGAGGATGTGATTCATACAATTGATGTATTCTATCAATTAGTGTATTGTAAATATATGCATTCTATCAATTGTTGTATTTGGTAAATCCCTTGTTTGGTGTTGTATATTGTACTTTTCACATAACCTAAAAATAGTACACTTTTCATATTGATGGGCATAATTGCCCTTCACCAACTCCTCCTTCCTTTATATCCACAATCATTTGTTTACAATCTCTCATTAAAAGAGAGATTGTAAATCATCCATTATGAAGGATTGTGAGTGGGCCCCCAAAAAGGTAATGCATGTATTTCAGCCCAAATTAAACCAAAAAAACAACTTAATCTCCTCAATGCATGTATTGGCTAAATCATTCATCTCAAATCCTAACCTCCAAACAAGCCCTACGAGTCCAGACGGGTAAAACCCGTCCGTACAGGGCGAGTCAACCCACTCTTACATGTTATTTGAAAAAAAAATACATGCAAATTTTACTTTTTACGATGAAATGAAGGGGAAAATAATTTATGAATGAAAAATAGTGATAATAGAATGGGTAAGTGAGTCTAACAAGTTGAAAGATCAACTCTAACTAGTTGAAAAAAAGTCAAATTAGGAGAACTATGTATATATACTGTAAGAAATTGAGATAGAATGAGCCAACAACGGGGCGGGGCAGGGCGGGTTGGAAGTAGATACCCATGCCCCACCTCATGCTACTGCGGGTCGGGTAATACCCGCCCCATCGTTGGTCAGGTCGAGTATTACCTATGGGGCAGGTTCGAATTGCCATCACTAGAGAAGTGTGATAGATATTGTATTTTATTGATGAAGCAATAGTAAAATAATTTAATTTTGTGTTAAAACTATTTATATTAATTATGAATTGTGGATTAAATTTTTCTTTCTTGCTAATTTTGTTTACTATTAGAAATCGAAAGTAGATCATTTGAAAAAATTGCCAACCTATTAGGAAGATTTTGTTCACTATTTTATTGAGAACCTAACAACTACTAATCATGATTGTCATGCCTGTGTATGTCGGTCGACGGAACTGGATTCAACGGGTATCAGTCAAAAAATTGATAAAAGACGATATAAATTTATTTTACCTAATAAGACCATCACATTTGCGTAGGATGTAATACACTTCTTACATCCCACGTAACAGTTTATGACGCCAAAAGATCTGACTATTACTTTATATTTTTAAGGGTTTGACTAATATTATGTTAACAAATTTGTTAAAATTTTGTATAATATCCAAATGCATCCTAATAAAGGTTAAATAAATGGGATTACAAAGATGGAAGCATTAAAAAAGGGAACTTACAAATAATAATCCACAAGTTGCCATAATTTTCTGCTCGGGTCCTCGTATGCACCCTAACTAGACTCCGACAGTTGAACTCATTTTAGCCCTAAGAAATGTTTGGAAGGCAATTAATAAAATCTCTCCCCCTTGCCCGACGGAAAGGGAAAAACCATAAAACCCGACCACACTAGAAAAGAGTAAACATTACCATTTACCACCCACTACATCTATGCTGTTGATGTAACTTGAATCGGACTATCAGCGGCTACGACTAGTAGTCGGAGGTCTCGCTGCCCGGTCTGCGAGTGGGGTCCAGGGGCAACGCCCCGGTGGGAGTGCGGGGGCAACGCCCCCGGCCCACGGTGTATGGGCTCAATGTTATTTGGGTTCGGGTTCTGAGCCTGGTCTATAACAGTTTCCTTTGCCAGATTGGATTAGGTTTAGACCCACATGGAGAAGTACTATAAATACTTCTCATACTCCTCTGTAATTTGTAATCTCCTCGATATAGTGAAACTGGCTCTCTCTCGCCCGTGGACGTAGCTAACACACATCGTGTTAGTAAACCACGTAAATCGTGTGTCTGTATTTTTCGATTTTCGCTTTCGTATTTTTACTTTATCGATTCCGGCGATTTCCCGATCCGTAGCAGCGCGTTTATAACATATACCCACTGCCACTCTTTGGATCATAAAAGCCCATTTGCATGCAATTGCGAGCAACAGGTTCCTACTTCCCAACTGATTTTCTGAGCCAGCCACGTCAGCACCCAGCATTTTGAGGATTACCAATCAGACAGCAGAACTATATATCTTTTATTTGGTGGCTGTGACCTGTGAGATCAAGCTAATAGTAAACCTCGTTGGCTTTGCATATATTATGTGGGTGTCCCTAGCTAACTAGTCCTTGTGCCTGTAAACGATAATGTTCATTTTTGGGGCAAATTTCTTTAGGGCTGTGATGAGAGTTGGATTATGAGTCAGATCCAATCTCATGTTATGTCCCTAATTCTGGTCCTTGGATTTTTGAAATCTAATAGAAAATTTCGTTGTTTAGGCTGTGATGAGAGATATCTTGATTAGACAAGTGGATGTATTATCGTACTAAAATAATGTGGTGGCTAGTGCAGAGGAAGAGAACTAGAGAAGACCATATCATACTAATCAACAAATTAAACCAAAATATTTCCCCCCTTAATTGCTATGTAAGTTGCAGTTTTAGGTAGTGTCTGGCTGTCTGCCTTCTTTATAGCTCACACTCACTTTTTTGTGGCTGATTTTTGCTAACAAAATCACAACTTCCCTTCCTGGAGGACAGTGTCCTAACTATGTCATGTCCTAGAAAATAAAATAATCCATGTGAAGAGACACTAATGGATTCTCACATACTTATCTCATATCATTAAAGGGGATTACTATTTCTATAATGGGCATACGACCCCTCTCTTCATCTAGATCCTAGAGCATTATTAAACTCCTCTAAAGAGAGAAAAATAAGGGTAATCCAAATTTTTTCAGATTATTTTATATTAATCAAATCTATTAAAATGTTATTAATTAGCTAAATCTTTCGTAATACATCAAAATATTAGCCATTTTTATGCTAGCGTTAATAATTATGTGACTCTTTTCTTAGTTAAAGTACTAAAATTTTGGAAGGTTGGCCTTTATGTGTCTCTTCCAATTTGGTATCATGTTGCCAAGTCAATATTACTAACAAAATTGCTAACTGAAAAAGAATCCTACTTTTGTCTTAGTATTTTAGAGGTACGAAATGATTGAACCACGCTTCAATTACGATTTTTTACAAAATATCTTATTACTATTTTTTATTATTATATAACCTTCGATACGATTCCACACTTGGATTCGGGTTAGTTAAAGACCTAACTTGCATATTTATAGCTTTATTATCATTCCAATCCGACTAATGAAAATCTGTGAAGCGAAATCTTTCATTAGGCCCAAAATAGCGGGCTCAATATCAATAAAGGCTTCCGATACTGGCCCAAATGAAACTGGGCTGTTGCCTGTTACAAGACGTGTCCATCAACGGGAGCATTCTTGTTCCGTTGGCCGATCCAATCGACGGCTCAAGAAATTGGCACAAATAAAACACGTAACAGCAGATTCAAGCCTACCGTTTGAAGTAATTTTTCCGCCTCCTAAATAGACAGTCAGCACCACCACCAAACCTCAACCGCCGCCGACACGATCCCGCCGCGCCAGGACGGAATCCAACCGCGCCGAGAAACCAGCCGGGCATCCCGGAAAGCACCAAATCATCTTCAATGAAGCGAAACCACCACGCCTCCTACAACTCGACGGATCGGAAATGGGTAATGCCACTGACCGTGCTCGGAGTTCTCTGCTGCCTTTTTCTGATAACTGTCCGCCGCGCCAAGTACCCGGCCGCGGGGAAGGCAGGTTTTACGCCGTCCACCTCCTCCGGTAAGTGGGAATCCAGATTCTCCGGCGGCGGTTTCGAGGACCCATTGAAGCTGCCGAAGCTGCCCAGATTCGCCTACTTGATATCCGGGACGAAAGGGGAAGTTCCGCAGGTGAAACGTCTACTTCAGGCGCTGTATCACCCGAGGAATTACTACTTGCTCCATCTCGATCTGGAAGCTTCCGACGCCGAGAGGCTTGAGCTGGCTAAGTATGTGAAATCGGAGAATTCGGTGCTTCGAACGATTGGGAATGTGATGGTGATTGGGAAGGCGGATTTGGTTACATACAGAGGGCCAACGATGATCGCCAGTACGCTCCATGGGATTGCCGTTTTGTTGAAGCTGGCTGGGGATTGGGATTGGTTTGTCAATCTCAGCTCCTCCGATTACCCTTTAATGCCTCAAGATGGTAACTTCACATTTTCGTCGTCTCCCTTTTGTCTTTTGGTCTTCAAATTCCTTCCATAAAAAGTGGCGCATCTCTAATTGTGTGGCAATTAGGGGGCTAGGGTTTCACTATTTTTGGCACCTTGTTTTCATGTGCTTGAAGAAAAAGTGTCCTGCTCTGTACAAGAGACTATAAGTCTAGACTGTAGAATTAGAGATGCTAGATTGAGTAGAAGGGTTCGAAAGATGAGGACTTTGCTGTGCTTGCTGAAATTGGGAATGTAGTTGGGAGTTCATTAGTATTGGCCTGCAGTTTTAGATTTTGACTTAGGGGTTTAAGAGGAACTAGAAAAGCAAGGTTTTGGATGATATCGATGGATGGATAATTGGTCAATATGGGATCTTCAAAATGAAGTAGAGATGATATCGATGTACATAGTCATTAAAGAAACATTGTGCAAGCAATAACAGGAGGGAGAGTTCTGAAACTACTGCTATCCTACTTGTTTGATTTTGGAAGTGTTCATTCTTGATTATATGCAAACAACTTACTTGGACTGAATGGGGACAAATCTATGCTAGTGTTTTAAGTTCCATATTCGGTCTTTTTGTCTTCAATCACTGATTGTGCATGTTCCAGACACAATTGTTGACTTGGCATCTGAAGGTGATAAAACTGTACATAGACAATGTGCTGATTCATCTTTGGTAATTTTTTTATGTTTCAGATATCTTGCACATCTTCTCTTATTTGCCTAGAGATCTGAATTTTATGGAGCACACAAGCAGCATCGGTTGGAAAGAGTAAAGTCACACTACACAGAAACACATCTCTTGTGATTTGTCATACCAGGTGGGATAACTGCTGTTTCTGACTCTCGCTGCCTTTTTAACCATGCAGGTTCCAGCGAGCACGGCCTATAATCATAGATCCAGGCTTGTATCATTCGAAGAAATCGGGTGTATTTTCTGCCAAAGAGAAGAGATCAATGCCTGCTTCGTTCAAATTATTTACAGGTACCTACCTCTTTCTTAACAATTTTCTTGTTATGGATTAGCTGTTGATCTCCCAGCCTGGTACCGAAATCAACAAGGTAATGTTTATTCATCTTTCTTTCAACATTAATAATAGCTCATAGGTAGTTTGTTATCGTAGTTAAAGGGGATCCGTTGAACTTACTAAACTACAAGAACCATACTTTTTTCTTCTTTTCTTTTGTTCCCGATGAATGCTTTCTGGTTTGGATAGCAGAGCAGTGAGTAGTCCATTCTGAATCAAACCTATGATGTATTTTTTTGGACTCATTCCTTTACACGACCCCTTACGTGAAGCTAATATTTAGAACCAGAAAAACGAAGCTTATATTTGAACTGCTCTGCAGTCTGCAGCTAATATTTGATTATCGATTGAATTCCAGGTTCAGAATGGGTTGTGCTAACGAGGGCATTTCTAGAATTCTGTGTTTGGGGATGGGACAATCTCCCCCGTACAGTCTTGATGTACTACACGAACTTCCTGGCATCCCAAGAGGGTTACTTCCATACCGTGGTTTGTAACCACAAGGACTACCAGAACACCACAGTCAACCACGACCTGCATTACATAACATGGGACAACCCTCCTAAGCAAAACCCGGTATCTCTAACCACGGAGCACTTCCAGGACATGGTGGCAAGTGGTGCACCTTTTGCCCGTCGGTTTGAGAAGGGCGATCATGTCTTGGACAGAATCGATGCTGAACTTTTGAAGAGATCTGCAAATGGTTTCACTCCTGGGAGTTGGTGTTTGGGGAATCCTGGCCCTGGTAAAGATCCTTGTGTTGTACATGGGAGTTCGGATGTTGTTAAACCGAGCATAAGTTCTAAGCGGCTGGAGAAATTAGTACTAAAACTTCTTGATTCTGAAAGTTTCAGATCCAAACAGTGTATATAAGTGTTGTAATGTGGGTTATTTCTTTTGTTCCAGCTTGAGTGAAATCTATATATGGCTATTTCTTTGTTCATTGATAGTTAACGACTGTTTGACTTGGTGCTGAGGACAGCTAACAGATAAAAGGAAATTACTTTAGAGAAACTAGTCATTCTATTTTGTAGGGTTTATCCACAGGAGGGAATGTTTCTTTGTTCTCTATCCTTTTTCCTCCTTAAGGATATGTGAGAAACAAACAAAATGCAGAATACGTTGCAAATGTAAGAAGTGATGAATTATAACCAGAAGGATATGTGAGAGTACTACCAAAAAAGCTAAAGCAAAACCTGTTGGAGTTGATTCTTGTTCAGTTGTTGACGCTTACAGGGTTTTCTGAAGGTGTCTGGGTTGTCCAGAAGAGTTCGATTGTGACTCAAGGATCTCACTCCCCCAACATGGAAATTATCCATCTTCAATCCCTCACTCCATACTAAGGGAACAAAAGATAAAGAATGGAGATGGCAATTTGAATCTCCAATATGGTAAACTCATGAAGGAGTTGTTGGAAAACAAAAAAACATGGTGTGAATGTGTGATGATGTTTCCTTGACCTTCAACGAGAAGTGTTAAGTCGTACTAAGCAAGAAATCATTAACAGAGAAGCTTTGAGATCTAGGGAGTTTCACTTTACCTTGCACTCTGAGCTCTCTAAAAATGGATAAATGTTTAGTTGACCTAGGTGGCAACATAAATGTTATGTCATCTTACATAGTTAAAAAACTAAACCTAGGAAAGCTTACCCACTAGGATGACCATCCAGTTAACAAATAAAACCACCAAACGCCTTCGAGGCATTCTTAAAGATGTTTTGCCTATTCTATGACTCAGGTTGGGCATATTGGGGTGTTGTGGAAGAAGGAATGAAAGTCACAGTACTAGAGTCTAGAGACAAGTGACTAGTTTGTTCATGGGAGTTTGCAAGGTGTGGAACCAATGTATCTAAGATTTGTGGATGCTTCGAGTGATGCACATAGAAGGTGTTTGATATATGAAGAAATTAAATAAAAGCTGCAGTATTCTGGTCCATGGTTGATTGCAGGTGATTTTAATGCTACAATAAATGGAAGTGAGGCCTCAAATATAGTTGAGTTAGGAGACAGCTTAAGAAGCTTTCAAAAGTGGATTGATGATCTCTAGCTTACTGATCATAAGGCTATTGGTTCTTGGTTTATGATGTCGTTTGTAGCATGTACCAAATTCATCAGGCCCAAAGGCCATTGATCGTATTTCCTTAGGGCCTCTCCAATACCCTTACTTCGGAATAGAGATATGGTTCTATTGAAGAAGAGAGCAGGTTGTGGAGGTTGAGGTGCCTTCGCTTTTGAATAACGCAAGAGTTTGAAACTTAAAGAAAATCAGAAAAATAAATCTAAGCTAATTAACGAGTGAGATATTAGATAAGAAAGGCGTTGCGAAGGCAAGCTACCTCTAGGTCTCCTTACCATGCGCCCTCGATGATTGGTAGCATACGAGCTGTCAATTTCTTATTTCGTTAGATCCCACCTTGTCGAAGCATTTACCAAACAAATGGGTGACAAGGACCTTTCAGATTTCTACCTTGAGGGGTCACGCCGTTCGATCGAATGAAGGTCCATCGAGTAGGACTGTTATTTCTAGTCCCATTCTAAACGAGTGGGGTTCTCGATCTTTGCACCTCGAAGGAGTGATGATCTAGTTGTAAGCTCTGATTCGAATTGACAATTAATGAAATAGAGGAAATCAAGCATCACACATATGGAAAACAAACAATTGTATTAAACCAAATCATTGAGTTTACATGGCTAAAAACCCTAGGGTTCATATGCCTTTGCTACTAAGGAACTAAGCTAGCCATTGGGAGGGGTTCCTGAGTGTTCCTTGATGGAAACAAAGACACCAGGACTCCTAATGGAATAGGCGCCTAGAACAAAGAAAACAGGCCAAGGGGCGACGTTTTGGGCGTCGATTCTACCTCGTAGGTTGGTCTCGTTCTAAGTAAGGAGGGTTGCTCTGTCAGTAGAGTAACAGCCCTTGTTTGACCTCTTGTCTCTTTCCCCTTCTCTCCTTTATCTAGGGCTCTATTTATAGATCTTCGATTAGGATTTCTAGGGAGGAAAACTCGCAGTTGTTGTGTCATTCAACCAATCAGAGCGCTCCAAAGACGTTACCAGCGAATCAAGAAGCTCCGGGATGACTTCTTGACAAAATGGACAATTAACTCCCCAAAATGGTGTCCTTTTCGCCGCTTCCCTTTACTAGAACGGGGCTACGAGCGTCGTTTTATCCAGAGCTCCGGTCTTCAAGTCCTAGCTCCATCAATTTGATATCGATGTCTCCTACGACTTCCAAGTGGTCCACTAGACTACTTTGCCCTTAAAAAGGAACAAAGCGCTACCCAAAGAGTATCAATCGTATAAAAGCAATCCTAGGGTTGCTAGAACAAAATTGAAGTAATAATGACATAAATTCAAGGTATCATGACACTATTGATGAAAAATGTATGCACTTTGGGTTACAATAAGGGGGTATAGGATATGCACTCTCACGTGTTATTAGCTTACTTGGACCAACAAGCAATAAGGAAATCCAATATCAAAACGTCTGGATAGAGTTCTTGTGAACTAAGAGTGGTTGGCTAAGTACACACATAGCTGCGTAAAAATCATAGTTTCCTTCATTACCTATCGATAAACTTAACAGGGAAGAATACTCTGAGATTTCTGAGTGTGCAAGGGGATTTGAGAGGGAGTCAGAATATTACAGAATGAATTACTTGTTTATCCGACCTCATAGTTAATCGAGAGGGAGAAAAAATTGGAGATAGAGTGTTCTGAAGCTTTAAAAGCAAAGGAATTATTCTATAAGCAAAAATCTCGAACAAAGGGGATTCAAGAAGGAGACTAATACTTCCTTTTTTCATAAGTCAGTCAAGATTATAAGTAAAAAATAATAGATCACTCGTTTATTGATCCTAGAGAAAGATTATTACAGATATTAAAGGTATTTGTGAGGCAGCTGTAGTTTTCTATATTGATCTTATTGGCACACTGGATAAAGAAGTGGTAGTGAAGCATCAGAGCTATTATGATTCTTTGATTCAATATAGGTTTGACTCTTTGGACTGTGATATGTTGATGAGAGGTGTTTCAAGGTAGGAAATCAGACAGATATTCAGAGAGATGAGCAAGGGCAAAGCTCCTGGTCCTGATGGGTTTTCTAGTGGAATTTTTCATTGATCACTGGGGAAATTATTGGGAGAGAGGTTGAAGAGATAATCCTGAAATTCTTTGCTACCGGTTTTATGCCTCAGATTGTAAACTCAACGATCTTTACATTGGTTGCTAAGTTGCATAGCTCAGGAAGCATGAAAGACTATCGTCTTATGTCTTGTTGCAATGTTCTCTATAAGGGATCTCTAAAATTGTAGCTAATAGGATTGCAGTGGTGCTACCTAAAGTCATCAGTAGATCTCAAACAGCTTTCACTAAGGCTCGATATCCTCTTAGTATAAGAGCTTGTTATGGATTATCATAAAGCAAATATCTCCGCTCGGTGTGTGGTTAAAATTGATATCATGAAGACTTTTGACTCGGTCAACTGGGAATTATCCACCTTTGTTTTCCTGATGACCTAATGGACTTTACAAACGGGTCAGTTCAAGGGATAGGGGGATCAACATATTATTGGATGAATTTTATCATATCTCAGAGCTAAAATGTAACCTTGCCAAGAATCCGTTATTCTGTGCAGGGATACGAAGTGGAGAAATGGAAGCAATTTGTGCATATACTTGTTTCCCGTTGGGTACTTTACCTGCAATTACCTTATAGTGTCCCATTTATAACAGGTAAGCTTACCAGGAAGGATTGACATGTGTTGATTGATAAGATCACTAAATTTTTTAGAAGTTGGAGAACTAATCTTCTTAGTTATGCAGGGAAAATTCAGTTAGTCAATACAATGATTTCTTGTACTCTTTAATACTGGATGAACCTCTTTCTTTTGCCCAAGTACGTGATAAGAATACTGATGAGTAGGGGGAGAACAAGCTTAGTTATGGCCTGAGAAAAATTGTCAAAACCAAAAAATGAAGGTGGTCTTGGGGTGAGAAACTTTAAAAGTTGGAATATGGCACGTGTTACTCGGGGGAGTTCTACGGTAACCGGTGAAATCCGGGGTACCGCATACCTTGAGTAAGAAAACGCTATATAGAACTTGAATTGACTGATGTTTCGTACATGATAATATATTCTAACCCATAAAGATCAAAATCTAGGTCTTAATTCTCTAAATCTTATACCCAAAGATAAATTTAATTAGAAACAATAATCGACGGTTATGATTCGTCCAAATATAGGCAAAAAAATCAATGCACCATATTAGGGTTTATAGTTTTGATTTAGATAATTAGGACCTAGGGTTCACTCATTAAGGGTTAGGGTATAGTATCATGCCCAAAAATCCTGCTAATTCGAGGTCTAGATAGCGTTTTCATACTCAAGGTATGCGGTACCCCGGATTTCACCCGGGATACTGGAGAAGGCACCGTGTTACTCGTCATTTATGGGAAATACTGGCTGAAGGTGTTTCAGTATTGGAACTACATATATTAGTTATTTTGCACAGAAACCTAAACCCAATTTTACACATAGCAAGATGAAATCTAACATAAATTTATTTAAATTTTGTTTATGAACAAAGTCGAAATAAATTTGAATTTGAAGAAATTGAGAATATAATTTTGATTAAAAATTCAATAAAAATATATTTCTAAGTGTTGTTTCGGAATGCAATTCAAATAAACATCACAAAGTATATGACATTTCAAAATGGTCGTTAACCTTGACGTATCATCTTTCCAAAAGTTGATGTTCGATTATAGTTCGAGGAAGAATCTTTCTTTATTGGAGTTAGAGGAAGAATCAAAATAATTACCTAATTGAAAAATTTTATATATAATTAACTAGTATCCTTGTCGACGATTATTTTAGGTTAAAAAGGAATATACAGCCTTTGAAATGGACTGTTACACTGATTTAGGGTTTTGTGAAGAATTGTTGTATTGATATTTGGCAAATATCGTAAAATCGTATCGGATATTGTATATGATAAGTTAATGGTAGGGTATTTTGTACTAAACCATGATTTAACCATTTATACGACTAAAAAACCCCTACCAGTTTAAACTCGGATAGGAGATTTTTTC